GGAGAAATTATTTTATTGTATTGTACAATAAAATCGAAAGTGTCGAAAGATTGCCTCCAGAATGGCCGAAAACTGTCATTTGCTCAATATATAAAATGGATGATGCACCGAGCTCCTTCAACTATCCAGACATCTCCATGTGCAAAGTATTGTTTAACATCTTATAGAAAGACTGATACTCTGCCGAAACGAAAATAGGAAGATACCAAGCAGAGTTACGAAGGGAAGGGCTACCTCCGACCCAAACTTATTTTGCACAGATTTCCAACAGATCTATGATTTTAATTTTGTCAGGAGACATATTTAACTAAGTTCGTCTATCATAATCATAATTATCCCTCTTCTGCTGCCCATGCGGCGTGAAGTGTATTTTTGGACTAAGCTCTTCAATTCTTCCGTTTTATTCCAGACCTGTCTTTGCAAAGCATTTCAGCACGCCTTTCCGGATTTTTTAAAGTTTTCCTCTCAACTTTTCCCCGTCAACCCTCAGACCATATGTCGTTCTGACAAGTGTTGTGTTGTGCATTCTTAATACATGTCTAAACCATCTTAGACAATGTTCTTCAACAATATTTTCTGCTGGTTCAACATCGAGGTTTGATCTTGTTGTATGTTTACTGTATTGCGGTTTCAGCTTCTTCTTGTTTTGTCTTCTATTTTTGTAAGTAATCTCATTTTAGATGCTTGTATTTTGCTTATATGCTTCGTAGTTATTCAATATGATTCGTCGGAGTAACTTTATTGTGGTAAGAAGCGTAGAATTGTAAATTTTCAGTTTGGTGTTTTTGGATACTTCACTTTTGTCCACAAACTTCCTTTTTACAGCACAGAATATCTTTACTATCACAAGTATATAAGCGGAAACTGACCCAAATGGAAACTTCTCTTCTGGACCTTGGACTCCAGAGCTAGAATAGATAGGAGTGGGCTTAAGTTGTCTTTCTTGTTATCTTTATCTACCAGAGCCTTACGGGCGTCTTACTTTTTAATTTTATTGAAAGTTTTTGTGAGATGCACGAAGCACACACAGTTTCTTGTATTTTTCGATTACTTTTTCAATGATCTGTCACAAAATGAATATTATATCTTACATTATCCTGTTTTCCTCCAACTCATATTGTTGCACATGTTTTCTAATTATTTTCTTCAGGATCATGGAGTATGCTTTTCCCTGCCTTGTACCATTTACAACCCATGAAGGGTCTTGGGTTTAGTACAATGTGAGGAAGTACTGTTGGCCAATAGTTTTGCAGGGGAGTGAAGGGCCAATATCACGCTCAACCGCCAGGTTTTTCTCCTTAATTATTTAATTAAGGGTACTCACTTTATAGAGGCTGAGTTTGCCCCAGAAACCCTTCTAGTCAGAAAAATTACTAGTCATCAGCCGCATTCGAACCTGGGGTTTTGAGTTCTGGAAGTCAGTGCTCACCCACTGAGCTACACCGCTCTCCAAGTATGATTTTCAGCAAGAAAATTTCAACTCTGATCGCTTGGGATCTTTTTTTTCTTCCATGTCAAATTTTGGAAGTGAAGTGAAATTTCTTTCTCACGTATTTATTGTGCTGGTTTCCAAAGCTTCATTGTCGGTATTACATACTCTAGTTCACCTTCTGAGATGTAATAATCTTCTTCCCATTGATCATTGATAGTCTTCTTGTAACTTCATGTTGAATTGATCTGTTCAAAGTCTTGTAAATGCCAATACAGATCTTTTAAGGAAAGATATAATGTTATTATTTGAATCCTAGCGGAATCGGCTGCAAGAATGGGACTAAGGGTGAACAACGTGAAGGCGAAACGCATATATGCATCCATCCTACAACATGACTGTAGACAACTGTAGAAATAGGTTCTCAATGAAGAAATGAATGGACGCATCTTCTCAGTAAAGAGACGCTGTTCAGAAATACCATCCTAGCCGAACTGTGATGAGTCCAAAAGAAATTCCATAAAGAGCATTTAGTGAGCAAATGTATGGAGCATAGAGATGACATCCAAAGCTTAGAGGATTCGGTAACTACTGTTGTCAAAATTTTATTTGGTGGCATTTGATCAGAAAAACTGATGGTCTATGCTGGCAGACCAAGTCACAACTTGGGATGTAACATTACAAAATAATAAGTAATATCATTAGAATTTGTTAAGATTAGTTATAATTTAATTGTGTTTGTTAAAAGACCGAACAACTTATACCTTCTTCTACAGAGAAACTGTAACAGGAGGTAGACATTCAGGTATTAAGTAAATTTAAATGTATACTTAATGAAAATTAAATGAAATATTTTTATTTAAACAGTATTATAAATGTACTTACAACACTAAAAATTGTGTATTAGCAACTATTAAGAAATTTTAAATTTTATAATGGAACTCTAATTTAAATTTAATTGTTATTGCTTAAATTGTAAACCCAGGACCACATTATTTAAGTCCTCCTTGCTTTGAAAAGCTATTATATTTACATATCTACATTGAAAAGCATGCTACAATTTCTCCTGACCCTAAAATCAATAACTTTACCTTAGATTATTGTTAAAAATAGACAAAATATCTTATATAACAAGTATGAATGCTCAGAAAATAAAAATTTATTTTTTCTATAATAAAAACAAAAAGATAAAAATATTTTAAAATATACTTATTGTGAAATATTTTCACATATAATCAAAATGTTATAAGAAGAATATCCCAGACTGAAAAAATGTTCGATAAGAATAGATATTATTCCTGTATTCAAAAGGAGATTACTTTTAGAGGGATCGAAACTACAGTCACGAATCCTTAGTGTATCTATATGGACGAATGTCAAAATATTATAAAATAGTGGTATTTTTGGGCAAATTACTTTAGATAGTGGTTTTGGTTTATAACTAGCGAGGACGTATTTAAAAAATATTTTGAGCTGTATATCGCAAACTCAGCACAGCCTAGTGAGAATGCCTACAAATGAGGAGCTTGCTTATTTACCCCCCAGTCCTAAACTCTAACATTGGCTGGCAATTACCTTCTAAAATGGTGGACATTTTGTTTGGATGTGGGTTGCTAGAAAAGAAATAGCAAAGGATAAACCCATAGGATTTTTTTGTCAAGTAAGTAACCTCATATTTATATATTATAAAGCCCATTTGTGTTGCCAGAAACATTTTTCGGGGGATATCCTCAAGTAGCCTTGAAAGAGTATCATCTGGGTAAATAGAAGTAAGATCGGCTGATCACTAAAATCATATGTGCTTATTTGAGGCGCGATAATTTGGTGATAATAAACATGATTTTTTTCGAATTTCGGTTTTTAGGCAGTAAATTATTGGAAAAAAGCGAAATTCCTATCTATTTTTCGACGTTTTATCATTGTTTGTTTTTATTAATTCAGAATTTCGTTATCATATCTAATTTTAAGTCCAAAATACACCATAATGTAACAAACTATAAGAAATATAGAGAGAATTGACAAGTTAGCTGCTTAGTTATATCAACTCAACTGAGGTTATGTTGTAGAATTGCCATATTTTCATCTGTCAGAGATAGGGTTTTGTTTTCATTGGAATATTGTCCTTATTAATAATATCTTTAACATTAAAAGAAAAGACCAAAGGAATAATAGGGTTTGTTTTTATCTTTTATCCTTTTTTGCTGAACTATCTTTGACAAATCATTATGTAAATTGTTTCTAAAGGTTTATTTTGAAATCAATGCAGCATTGTTAAAATTAACAAAAGTATGCTACTTTTCTGATTCAAACAGACATGAATTACTGAAAGGTTCCTTATTAAGTCCTTTTATTGATTTCTGTAGTCATTATTTAAGTTTTCTTTAAAACTTTGTTTTGTTCTGTTGATATCAGTTATTTAAATAATTTGTAAGTATATTCCATATTATTACCCTGTTATATGTAACCAATAGTTAATATACATTTACACATATGAATTAAGTGTTATTAAAATATCTATTTCGTTCACGGCAACACCTGATAATTTCTATTAATATTTTAACTAGTTGGTCATTTGATTATTAAGTGATTAGGTTTATTAAGTTTTAGTGTGTTGTTTACATGATTGAAGTATCTATGGTGAAATACATAGATATTTTTGCCTCATTAAAATTTTATTAAATTTTTATATACTTTCAAATGATGGATATAAATAATAGATGTGGGGTTAGTGTTTTAATAGTTTTTGTCATTTAATATTAGACATATTTTTTGTATCAGAATATTAGTTAGTTCTAAAAGTGTTTGTTGAATGCCAAATCTGTATGATTATTTTCTTAAATATGAAGAAACCTAAGCTTAAAAAAATACCTTTGTCATTGAATTGTTAATCTGCATAATGTGTCTCTGTCTGTGTGTAGTTGTTAAAGTAGAATTGTAATGTTTATGAAATTATGTTATAGTTAAGATATGAACAGGAACTAAAATAACATTTGCAAATCTTATTTAACAGTGAGCTATTTCTATAATTAGTCAATAGATGTAGTTTCAATTTCCTGAGGAATAAATATTACAAAGAATTTGGAATTTTGTAAATTCTTTCCTGTGCAGATAGTTTGATTGTTCTAATTTAAAATAATCAAACTAAAAAAAGATAATATGCTTACATATTTGGTATCTCGTATTCTATCAAGTATTGATAAGTTCAATACCAATCTAATTTCGAAGTTGTTAATTTTTTAATTCACTAAATTCATTATTTCTTTAATACTTAAAAAGACATAATATCTTGAATAACATTAGTACCTGCTAAATCATAACCTCTTGATGTTTATTTCTAAGCATATTTATAAACAATAAAATACTATTAGATTTTTTATTGAAACCTATGACTATAATTGTCATAATATTATTGAAGTGTCATATTTATGTCATAATTCATCAAGAAACTAGGTTTTTTAGAAATGTAAACCATTGAAGTTCATAGTACTGAAAAGGGATTTTTAGTTGATCTGATCAAACGTCGGTTTTGTTAGTTTTAATTTCCTTATTTAAAAGGTACTTTTAAATATTAATCAATGTGTGTATCATTAAGTAATTTTGTTAATACTCATCTGTTAATATGTTTCTTCCTTATTCTAGAAGGATGGATGGTACGCAGTTTCTGGTACAATGGGATGAGCATCCTTCACATTTGGCAACACGCCTTGGTTATTTGTTAGAACACCAGTCACTGGTTGATGTTACCCTCATGTGCAACACGCACACTCTAAAAGTCCACCGAGCCGTCCTTGCCGCCTGTAGTCCATATTTCGAGGTTGCTTTTTATTTACAATGTATAGTTGATTGTGATAAATTGAATGATACAAACCTTTATGAGGTTTTATTACATTAATGTAATGAATTGTTGACTAATTATTAACAAGTTACAAGTATATGTTGCTGTACAATAATAAATTTATATTTTAAGTGATTCATGAAGAATCTATAAGCGAGATTACTGATTTTAATTTTAATCTCTTTCATTATGTCGGTTCATAATGATTTGCTATTATAGTTTTTCATTAAGTCAAATTGTTTATTGGATCATAAAATATATGAATTTTTGTATGATTTGAAGAAAAGTGCATTCTGATATTGTATGATAAGATAAACAATTTTTTTTTGTTTTCATATCTAGTCCTGTGATTTATCATTTAGAATAATAGTTGCTAGTTAAAGAAAGAAAATAATAACATATTTTAATTGGAAAAAGTGTTTTATTAGTTTTACATCAATTTATGATTCTAAATCTTCTAGTATGAGATTAATGTTTAAAATTTATAATGTTTTTTTATCTTGTTATTTATTAAGTGGTAATATAGTTTCCTTTATGTAATAGTAAATGCTGATTATACGAAAGTAGAGATAATGGAAGTAATAATTTACTATCCCTGCATTGTAGATGTTCTTTTATTTTATCTATATAATTTGTTGATGTTATCATTATGACAGTATGTTTTTATTATATTATTTATATTGTAAAGTTTGTAATTAGTTTTTTAGAAATATGAAATTTTACCTAATAAGTACAGTAATTATTACTATAATTCATGAATCAATTTACTATATCAACAATATTTCTTTAGATGTGTCAAAAATGTTGATTCTTTGATTGCCTGAAAAGTTACCAAAACTTGCCCATATATATGTTTGTTCATGAAAATTTCAATCATAGTTGCTAGTGTTTTTTCAGTGGTAAATTAGATTTTCAACTGACTCATAGTTAGTTTTAGTGTAAGTGCATAAGATTGTAATGATTTCACTGAATTTAAAATATTCTGGAATACAGTTGAATCAGTGAGAATGACAACCTGGGCATATCCAAAGTATGTTTTTCAAGAGATTTGCAATAAAGATATCTTTTGAATTACTATCAATGGGTTTACGACTGCTAAACCATCAGAGGTTTAATTGTTGACCAATCGTTAAAATCCATTGATCATGATTCAGTGGATAGCCAGACCTTTAAATTTGAATATTTCGATAGCTTATTTGGTTCATGTACTGTTGTTACGTTACTTTCACAGAATGAGCATTATTATTCATTTGTCAACAATTTCTTGTGTTTCGATAACTAGTTCTTTTCCAAATGTTATAGAAATACAATTGTTTTCCTATACGTTGCAAGATTGTCTACCATCTCTTGTCAAACCAGGATTAAATCAATGCTCTTATTTGGAAAACTGAACTTGAATTATTGATGAACTATAGTAATAATTTATTTCAAGCTACTGATAAAGCCTGAAACATTTAAAGAAAAAGACATGTGCATGAAATATCAAGTTATAAAAGTTATGACACTGCAAAAGCGCCTTTCCTGCATTAAAGTGTTAAACCATTACATAACAACGCAGTCATGCTAAAATGAGTTAATGGTAAAGAAACATTAGTTTCAAAGATTGCTTATGACTTAAATCTAAATTGATAAAACCAAGTGGTGTGTGATGCCTGTTTGATGTGCTGTCAAGATGGACATAGTGAATATGTTTTACATCCAATAAAACAGCTTTTATTTTATTTTTACAGATATTTTCTGACTCACGTCAATCTGTTTTCCCATTTTGTATTATTTTTACCAGTAATACTCAAATCAAATTTAGCCAGTTTGGACTCTGTATGCTGAAGGTGGTTTCAGATTCCTGTTTTGTATAATATTCCAGTTGTTTTATGAAATTCCATGGTATCCATAATATTTTTATCAATTGAAGTTCTTCGTTGATAACACTTACTACATTATGTATTCAGTGAAACAATAATTATACTATTCAAAATACACATTTTAAACTTCATATATCTAAATCATGTTTATTATGTAGCTAACTCTATTTATGTATTGCTCATTTCAGAAAAATATCTTTCTTTTTCCAGCGACAACTAGGAAACCATCCTCTCATAGTGCTCAAAGATATGAAGTTTTCTGTTTTAAAGTCGTTGGTGGAATTTATGTACTGCGGAGAGACAAGTGTTTCTGAAGAAAATCTCACTCCACTGCTAGAAGCTGCCAAATTTTTTGAGGTAATAACTAAAGTTTTTTTCATGTTCCTTAAAACCATATTCCTGATGAAATTTTGTTCTACTATTCAGAAAGTTTTGTTTAGGAAATGAATGGTAATTTTATTGCCAAAAACAAAGAGTAATTTATTATTTTGTTTCATTAATGCTTACTTGAGTAAATTCATTAAAATTTCAAAATCAAATGAACTGCTGAATTTCAATCTCAAATGTTTTGTTTCTGAGTGGTTTATTACTTGTTACTGAATTTAATTGATCAAAATGGTGGGGGGATGGTAGAAGAAAAAAGTTAATAGCTCCAAAAGACACTTCTTTTATCCTCCTAAAAGCTTTAAAAAACATAAACCTTCCTCCTCTCCCCTAAAAAACACTAGGGCACGCCAAAAATTTTACTGAAGTTTACTCTCACTTCTGAGGTATTGTTGTGGCAAGAAAAGAAAATTTCATTCCAAATTTCAACTCGCCTTATTCGAGCAGAGGGCTGAAAACACCGAAATGCATAGCATGAATGGAAATGTATATCAGATATTCCCGAGTCCTTCATAACAGAAGTTGTGAAAAAAGATTTAAAATAGACCCCCACTCCTCTCCCGATGATTTACGATATAGTATAAAACGTAGTCTATTAGTCAGAAAAAACTTGAGCCATTCATCAACATTGCTTTCGTGTTTAACAAAAAAGTATTTTCTTTTTACTAAAAATATTTAATTATTTTGTAAATTACATCAGGGAAAAGTTTAATTATGAATTGATGCATAATATAAACAATTAAGGGAACTTGAAATTATTATTATTGATGAAATGCATATTATTTTGTTTGTAAATACAGCATGCAAACAATTATATTATATACTTATTATTACCAAATTAAATTCAATTATAACTTAAATTCAGGTTTTATTCATGGTTTTGATATTCAATAGATCAGAATTTGATTGCGTTATAACTATAATTTTGAAGTTTTCTATCCAAAACTTCTGTTCTATTCCTCCTGACTACACTAACTGTTACATATCAATAAGAATACTATGAAAATGGATATAGAGTCAAATTGGCAAGAAGTGCTTAGTTTTATAAAATAACGATGAAAGGATAAAGATATTTTTACAAATAATTTTCATTTATAAAGTAAGTAAGAAATATCTTCCTACAGTTTGTTGAAGGAGTAAATGACAATGCAAATACTATGCGTCTTTTTTTAAAATTATTTTCTAGAAGTTAAATTGTATATTTCTTTGGTCCATGTAGTTTTAAATTTTATGTATTCAAAACAACCCATATTTATTGTGAAAATATTTTATACCTTAGATAAAACAGCACGAGAATGGGGATTTGGGACAAAGGTGAAAGGATACAAAAACCATTTTGAAAAGCTGAATGAAATGTTGGCAAACTAGAAAATAAAAATTTATTGTGCACTTTCACCTTTGGCTGCTCCCCTAACCAACTTCTACCAGAAAGTATTAAAGGTAGAATTAGTGTGTTATAAAGATATTGAGAAGATTCATTCTTTTTTTTAGCTTTAACTGCATTAATAATATTGCAATTTAGATCATTATGTGTTTGTCTATCTATTATCATTATGTGTATTCTTCCGGATTTACACATTTCCAAAACACCAGAAACACAGAGACAAACCGACACTAGTACTAAACCAAACTTTCATTCATTTGTGTTTCTCATAGTTTGTGGAATGTGTAAACATGGCTTTAGAATAGTACCTGCTTTTTTTTGTATATAGAACAAATATCTTCTGTTCTTTCATTGAAAATATATCTCTCAGATCATAAAAAATGTAGCACTTAATATCTATAAACTAATGAATTTATTAATAAAATAAAGCATGATAATAAGTTTTTTTCAGTCATTGTACTTCTGTTAACCAAGTTATTATTTTCTAAAAAGACTGTAAGCATATACACCGTTGCTAATTTTTCTCCTCTTTATTAGTTTGTCTATAGCTATGCTGATTGACATCATGAACATCTCGAACTTAAGTTAAAAAATATATGTGTATTTAATAGATGGCAATGTCACTCAGACACTCCAGGAGGCGATCTCTATAAATAAAGCAGCTGTATGACAAATGGTGGTATGGTGCCCACCCACATTCCAACCCAGTTTATAGCTACTATAAAATGTGCTGAAAAGAGCAAGTTCTGTATGGGTCATAAGAGAATGAGAGCACATCTTTATAACAAATTTAAAATTTGAGAAACTCCTTTGTAGTTAAAGAACCTACGCTGAAGGATATCAGGAAGCAGATCTGTGTCTCAACTCCACTAACTTGGCGACAAAGCACTACGTTGGTCTGAGAGATCTCAGGAAGACCGTTATGGCTCCTACTTTTAATCCTTGTCCCGACCATTTGAGGGAAGATCAAAGAAGAACCAGAAATGGCTTATAAAATCCGGACAATTCCTCTGGAGTTAATATGTAAAGGAAGGAAGAACCAGAATGTATGAGAAAGAAGGCAGAGGAGCAAGGATCACAAATTTAAGATACTAATTTCCATCTCCATGTTTTATCTGAATTAAACATAATGATCTCTCTTATGATATTTAACAGGAGAGACAAATATTATTTAATCAAAGTATCTCTCTATTTTTATAAATAAATTGCTTGTAAAATGAGCTAGGATATTTTTCTGTAGGATCAGAAATAGAAGTGAGCGATGAATATAATAATAAAGAGTTGGACCTTTCTTTATTTAAGATGATACTCTAAAAAAAAAAAAATAAGACACTAAATATGTGGCACAACAGAATATAATCTTCCATGCTATCTTCTGCCAGTTTTCTGATTCATTGTTCACACTGTTCATCTTAAGGTCATCTTTGATGTCATTGAAACATCATTTACATCAAAACATCTCTCCCTTTTTAATGAATATATGTTTTAATATGGAATATGATTTGCATTTTGTTACCAATCATTTGCTTCACATGGACTAAGCAGACAGAATTTAGGATTTTGAAATATATATAGTCCCATTATTTCTATAAATGGTTATATTTTTTATTTATCCTCAAATTGCTTTTATTTCTATTTATTCTCCTGAGTCATTAAAATCATACAAAATGATAAGCTCAAAGTTAAGTGGTTATAGGTTAAATAAAAATTTCATACATATCCCTTTAGTGTGCTTGGAAAAAAAAAAAAAGATTGAATTCATTTAAGGCTAAGATTTCATGTCAATTAAAGCTCGAATGGGAAATGTTGATGGAAATGGCGTGATGGTAAGATTTGACTTCAAGGCAAACCTATTTGGACTAATTAAGATGTAAACTTATTTATAAGTCCTCACACCTAGGAGGATAAATAAAAAAAGAAGGCGGTCATGTTTTTCATTTATATCGTAGCAACAATTGGTCATACTTTAAAGCATTTCATCTAGAAATTTAAGACTATTAAATTTCCTACAAGACTTTTCCTACTTATTGTTTTAGTATGTGTTATAGTTTAAGTAATTTAAGTTTTTCAAAGGAACTAAATTGAAAAAATAGTTTTTCATTTTTAAAAATTTTGTTGTCATTTTTAAGATGAAAGGTTTCCAATAAGAAGTTGCTTATAATAAAATTTTCTTTTAAATACTATAGAATGATTTTCCTTTTTTTTTTTTTTGTCATTTTGTTTTTCATTTTTGTTATATATAGAGGTAGATGCTCATCAAGGTAGTGATTTTCCATTCAAAATAAATAAAATAAAACTATTTTTCGTCCATCTTTATCACATTTCTTCTCTGCCATTTATCTGTGATGAAAATTTCCTAACCACTGCTGGATCTCCAGGTAAGTTCTGTTGGATTGTTGGTTAGCTGCCTCCTCTTTTGGAGGCAGTGATTAGATATAAGATTTGATGTTTTATTTCTGACTTCATGAATCTTTGATAGCAATAGAGGTTCAGGAGTATCTCCTTAGTGGTCTCACTATATTTTTTCTATTAACATGTTTTTCGTTCATTCTCTGTATTAGTATGTAGTGAGTTAGCTTTCACAAATGCTTTAGATCTTTTGCCGAAATCATGATGCAGTCAGCAACAAAATGTCCTTTGGCTCCAGTTGTTGAATCTCTTGGTTTTTATACAGTTGTTTTTGTCTGCTCAATTTTTATTTATAAGTTTGATATTTTGGTCAGATCAAGTCTTAGCTACTAGGACTGCCAAATAAACGTCTCTTATGACAGCAAAATTGGATTTTTTTTAATAGCTGTCATAATAATCACTTTAAGCATGTATCTTAATTCGTAGTAGTCACCATCCTTTTATTACCCTACACCCTTGTTCCAATCCCATTGTAATAATTATCAAGACATCAATGTAAAATCTTCATGTTTACGATTTACATTTTATAAACAAGACATTTATAACATTCACAAAATTATACAATTTACTATCAATTGAAGATACACCAATTGTATGAAAATTAATTATTTTGCTTTTTTCCAAACACAAGAACAGCTTTTAAATTGAACTTAAAGCTCAGTGATTTAATATATGTGAACCAACAGGAAATTTTGGAGTTTTATCCCAAAAAAAAACTGTGAAATTTCACAGTTTCATTCCTAACATCTCATAGACAATAACATTTTTTTTTATCTACTGACAATAATTTAATTTCTGTGTTTTTTCTATTGTTGTCTTTTGTTTTTAGTAATCAGTTGATGATTATGTTTTAGGTTAAAGGTTTGTCTTCTATGACAAAGGAGTCCCTGTGTTCTCCGGGTGGAAATCATAGCATTAAAACATTCAATGGTACTGCAACTCCTACCACTTGTAAGTACCATTGGTTTCTCGTACTCAAGGTTAGCAGAAAAAAAAAAAGTTTCTTTCACTGCATATATGTGCATTAACAAATATCTTTACATAATTTTATATAGCCAAAACGTATAATATTTAATAGTAAACTATATTTAATAGTAAAATCTGGTTTCATATAATACCATATCATTAGGAGAGTTTCTGAAACTAAAAAAATCTTTTGTAAACATACCTTTAACAATTGAAAGTCAATTGAAAGAATCCCTAAACAGGGTGTCTTTATTGTTAATGACTAAATACTGAAATTATTGAAATTTTGTGTACTTGCATGAATTTTCAATTTGTATTCCTCGATAAAGATTAGTTTAGGGTCAATCCATTTGAAATCACCCAAGACCATGTTGCTCGATATTTTTGATTTTTATAATTTTGCATCAGTTATTCCATATTTATTTGAGAGTTCAAAACTGTAGTTAAAAAAAATCGGACAGTTTTTTCTCGGCGGCCTTTTTTAATTTTCTTTTCGATTGAAAACTTGTTTTGGGAAATTACTTGGACTGTTGTTATTTTATAGTTATCAAGCCAAAATAATAACTGAAATAATTTAGAGTATTTTTTCTACATTTCTGTTGATCAATATTACACCTAAAAAGAAGGAAAGTGGTATAAAAAATCATGAAAATTACTTTTAGAGCTGCAAAAGTGTAATAAACAAAGGAATCTCACCTTTAATTTTTTCCTCATTTGTAGTCCTACCACCGTAGTTCTTGCTGATGAAATTTCAATCTTGAAAACCTTGTCCTTTTTTAAATATGAATTTTTAAAAAATGCTTAAAAGTCGTTTTCGGCGATTTTTTTATGTTTTATATATAACAAAGATGACTGAGCTTGATGTAGTTTATACCTCGTAATGATAGAAATGTGTGACACGGATTTGATCATTGAGATTCAACTGGTTCTATTATTTATAGTACAACAAATATGGCTGCCTAGTGTGAGTCTGTATCAGCGTATCCTAGCTTTTCTACCTGCTGCATTTTTGCAGATATCAAAACCAAACAAAAACTAAAATTATGATGTTTTACTCTAATTTTTTGTCCTCACAATATATTTCATTCGTAGTGAGGAAAGTTGTTATAAAAATTGACAACTGTAAAATTAAAATTAACATAAACTACCTGGCAATGGAAGAGATGGGAATTCCACCGAAGCCAATCCGTCTTGTTTTCTGTACTTTGAACGAGAGCGTGAGTCGAGTAAAAATAAATGGGAAGCTGGGCCAATCTTTCGCAGTGAAGTCAGGAGTTAGGCAGGGTGACTCCCTTTCCCCACTTCTATTTAACATCGCCCCCCAAGTTGTGGTGAACAGAGCAGAGCTTAGTCAGTCGGGCACCATTTTTAATAAAATAACTCAAGTGTTTGGATATGCCGATGATGTGGCTCTGATTGGATTGTCCCTCAAGGCGATCAAGGAGGCCTGTGAAAGGTTGCAAAGAGAAGCTGGAAGAATGGGGCTATCCATAAATGAGAAAAAAAACAAAAATTATGGTGCTCAGGAAGAAAACAGCTATAAATCCGCCTAAGCATTATGTAATGTGACAATATACGTTTCCAGTTTTAAGTACCTCAGCTCCATCGTTAATGATCAAGTTGACGAAGAAGAAGAAATCGTGTAATGGGGGCTAACAAAGCATATTTCGCCCTAAGGAGTTTACTCCGGAGTAAGCTACTAAGTCGGGGTATGAAAATGATTATATACAAAACAATCATCCGACCTGTACTGACCTATGCCAGTGCAATCTGGACCCTATGCAAAAGCCTGGCTGAAAAGATTGGCATTTTTGAAAGAAAAGTGTTGAGGCGCATCATGGGGCCTCAGTTAAAGAGAATGGTACATGGCGTTTAAGAAATAATAAAGAGATCTACGACGTATTCGACGATCTTCGAGTTTCTCATTTTGTGCGAATTCAGAGCTTAAAATGGCTGGGACACATTATCAGAATGGATAAAGGTAGAGCCGTGAGGAAATTATATTATAGAACTCCGGATGGAGTAAGACCACATGGAATAGAAGACTGAAGGGAAGGTGGAAGGACTTCGTGGCTGAGGACTTGATGATGGTAGACATGCTGCTGACCGAAATGATTGGGAAAGGGCAGTTGAGAGGGCCAAGGGCAGCTTCAGGCACCTGTCGAGCCGATAAATAATAATAATGATAAAACGAGACATTTAGCACAGCAATATTGTAATAATGAAAAGAGTCTCAACTTTAATTTTTTTTTCATATGTAGTCCTAGCGGTGTACTGCTTGCTGGTGAAATTTCTTGAAAACCTTGTCCATCCTTTTTTACTTATGAATTTATCAAAACAGCCAAAAGCCTTTTTCGGCAACATTTTAATTTAAATTTAATACTTTTTAATAAGGGCATATGGAACTAATTTAGTGACTGAGATTTTATAGGCTCTAGAGTTATATCGTATGAAATTGCTTTTTGAAAACGATAAATAAGCATATTGAGGCACTGAATCGAATTTTAGTTTTATTTTAGTTCTACTTATTACACAAATTCTATGGTAGATATATAAGTTTTCGCTACATTGATAGCTACTATCACATCAACTGATAGATGTAACTCAACAGTGAACTATCACCTTAACAACTGTATTTGCGATTGTGGGGAAACACTGTTTTAAATATCATCATTGATATGGATGTGTAATATTTATTTCTGAACTCAAACTTGATTCTATCTAGTCTTTTCATTCCTTAATAACGAATAAAATCTATTTGTTTCAATACATTTATAGATTCTATTTAAATTTATATTTATTTATACTTAGTAATAAATAGTTTTTGTTATGTCATAAAGAATTTAATAGAAACAATTTTAGGTTTAGAAATAAACATCAGTACACACATTGGCTGATACGGAATCACTAGGCAGCCATATTTGTTGCACTATACCTAATAGAACCAGTTAAGTCTCAATGATCAAATTCGTATCGCACATTCCTATCATTAAGAGGTATAAACTATATCAATTTCTCACTCCCTTTCAGTCCCTTTTGTGATGTATAACATACAAAATCGCTGAAAACGACTTTGAAGTACAGTAGTAGGACTGCATGTGAACAAAAATTAAAATTAAGACTTTTGTTGATTACACTTTTTCAGCTCTAAAAGCCCTTTGTCTATTTTCATGATTTTTTTAAAACTACTTTCTTTTCTTTTTAGGTGATGTACTGATCAACAATAATATAGAAAAAATACTCTAAATTATTTCAGTCTTTATTTAGGCTTGATATCTACAAAATAACCAGAGTTACAGGCATTTCCCCAAAACTTTTTTTCAGTCAAATAGAAAATTAAAAATGACCGCCGAGAAAAAACTGTGAGCCTCAACATTTTTTTAACTACGTTTTTGAACTCTCAAATAAATATGGAATAACTGGTAAAAAAATTATTAAAATCAAAAATGTCGAGCAACAACATTAATTCAAATTGGTTGATTTCAAATGGATTTGCCGTTTATTATAATAAAAACTCAAAAAGTCCCAAATTTGTCTAATGCATATTTGCAAAGATAATTAGTATTAAAGAAAAGTGGTGAGGTATAAACAATGTTATACCGTTGATTAGTTTATACTTGTTAGTTTATACTAGTCTTGTGTTTTCACCGGAGTTGAGTTTGGACTATGGACGGAACGATTCACGCTTTTATTGAGCTCTGTATTTATTGCTTTTTTTATTTTTTCATTGAAAGTTATTATTTTTTTTCAGTTCATTTAATATTGACTTTGATATTTTGATAGCGGTTATTACTGTTATAGAATTATTTCAATTAAAGTTGTTGCAAAGAAGTAGTTAACATATTTCATTATGAGTGATACAGAAGAGCAAGGTAGCGGGGGTATTGAAACGGTAAACAAAGGATTGGGCAGAAGAGATACTGAAGGTAATCCTTTCGACTTATTCTTTAATAAGCTTGAATTCCTAACAAACGAAATACTATTGTTGGGTAAGGATTGAACTTCTATATATAAAAAAATTACTGATAATCTTAATAAATACAATTCAAAAGTTTTAAATATGAAAAAAAGAAAATTTGAAATTAAAAAAAGAAGTTGCATCTTTAAGTGTAGCATTTTGCTGCAACTGATCAGTATCGCCAAAATAACGGAATAAAATTAATAAATATTCCTCGAATGGAAGAAGATATTTTAGCTATAATCAAAAGTATAAGCTGCAGTATTGGCTTCCAGCTGGATGAAAAATTAATTAACTCTTTTTACAGAATAAAAATCAACTCAGGTAAAGGGCCGATAGTGGTAAAATTCCTAAGAAATATCAATGAAACTGAATTTCTTAAATTATATAGATTGAAGAAAAATTTGATTAACACAGAATTGTTTAACATAATCCCAGGATTACCGGTGTTTGTGTCAGAACTGTTATCTTCCTGCAGTGCTTGGCTTTTTGAACAGCTCAAGTCTAATCAAGAGAAATGTATGCTAAACTATGTATGGACGAGAAATAATCTGGTTCTAGCTAGACAAGATGACGGAATTGTTATTCGCACAGAGAAAAATATCTAAAAAAAAGCTGCTGAATATGCCGACTTCACTTCAGAGAGGGATTATTCTGGCAAAGAAAAGCAAACAGAAACGGATACAAGCAAAGTGAGTAGAAAAGATGGTGGTTTAAGGGAGAAGAAGAAGAAGGTACGAGCGGAAGTTGTTTCTTCTCAAAAGTCATTGGACAGTTTTTTTTTGCAAAATTAGAAGGAAATTTAATTTAAAAATTGTTTATTTAAAGTTAATTTGTTTATCTTAACATTGAAGTGTACATAAGTTATTTAATGCATATTCTGAGGTTATCAATTTTTTACTTAGTAATCCTGTTTTTTGTCTTTCTGAAATTTTCATGACCAACCCAACATTTAATAAACCAACTTGGCTAAAGGATTATTCCGAATTTGTTGCATTAGCTTCTCTAAAATATAAGAAAATTTGTTACTAAGTTTGAAAAAAAAGTATTTAAAATCCACCGAATCATGTAAATGTCATTGTTTGAAATACTATTTCATTGTACTTGTGTAAGAGAAGAAGTGAAACATAAAAATATTTCATGGATATTTTTATAACCTTCAATACATTTACTGTAGTTTAATAACGCTAGATATGATATTATATTTAATTAATTAGGTATCTATTGGCCGTTTATTCCAAAAAATCATCAAGTAACCTTTTAGAAAATTAAATTAGTGAATAATTTTATGAATTTTCTCTTTGTGAAATCCCAAAATTATCCACTTTCAATTAGTGTGACAACTTTTGACCTATCCATGGCAGGCAATGAAAATCTCGTAATATCACTGTAGTAAACTTTACAATAGGAAATAACAGTATAATAACTAATAGTACTATAATCCATAATCATTTATAGGTTAAATATTCAGATGTACTTCAAAATCTCTCTAGGCATATATGAGCCTTTCGTTTGACAGAATGGCTAACTCCTACTAATTTTAGTGATGTTTCTATTGGCAAAATTGATATCTTTATTCACAGTTCTATATTTTAATACTACCATCACCTATTCTGTAATCAACTTACTCACTTTTTGTATAGATATAACTTTTCCAACTAGAAATGTCACTAAAATGACATTATTCAAAAATGTTGAAATTGGAGTTAGTCATTCTGTCAATTGAAAGACTCAGAGACTGAAGTTAAGTTGTTTATAAAAGCAGATGGAGAAACTAGATTTTTATTGCCTACCGTCAATATAATAAATAGACTTTTTGTAATTTTAATGGTCTTAATGATTTGTTATCTGTAAGCTTTAAGCTTTACCTCCTCTTAAAATTCTCTTCAAAAAATTTATAATATCCCAAGATAGCCAGAAAATAAATTCTATTCAAAGTAGAGCGGTAAGTGAAAGTTGTGTGTTGCACGCACTAGATTTTTATATTTCACATCTTCTTTCTCATAAGTACTATGAAATAGTTTTTTAAACAATGTCATTGCCTTGATTAGATGAATTTAAATTATTTTTTTTTCAATCTTAAAAAAGTTTACATTTAGTTGGTAAATTTCATTTCCTTGAAAATATGTGATATTCCTGTTAAATTTTTTAAGTTTTCATAAATTATTGTTTATAATTTTTTGTCACTCTCCAGTGCTTTCTACGACTTTCTATATTTGATATTGTTTTTTTCTAAAATTCTTCTCTTTCCAACGATATATTATACGTATACCTTCTGACTAGTATTTCCGGAAATTCATTTTCATTTTTGAGCTAAACTTGTCACATACATAATCACAGAAACACACACAGACCATTTTGCGGGACTTTGTTATTTGGATTCACGAGACCTCAAAACATGTATTTCCGTTTAAAACTCAGATTCGAAAATTTTCACGATCGCAATACTGTTCCTTACTATATATTTCATATATAGATAAGTGAAAGTAAAAAAAAATTATCCAAGGTATCCTTGGAACCTCAGAACTATTCTCGTTTGTTTATCTTTTCACAGATTTTCAGTTAGTTATAGACTTTGAAGCCATAAATATATTTTGGAAACAAAGGAACCTAAACAAATGGATTTTGATGCTCTCGTCCAAATCTGTAGTGTGCGATTTGTCCCATTGCAATTCATCACCTTACAATGTCCAATTTTTGAAATCTCATACTTTTTTCAATGGCTTTTATTGAAGCTATAGTACGAATATAAGGATTAAAATTGGGGTTCGTTACTTTTCCATGAAAGTCCCTTATGTTTGATTCCTCATTCATAAAAGTCCCATGCTTCTATCTGTACTAATGTTCTATGTATATGGTAGATTTATATTTTAAACTTAATTTTTAGTTGTATCATTTTTAATGTATATTTATTAAATAATTTTATTCTGTTGACAGCTGCTGGCTATGGCCGAGGAAGTGGACGTGGAAGGGGAAGGGGTAGAGGAAGACCACCCTTAAATCCATCATCCAAAATCGGTAGTCCTACAGAATCTGCTCAGATTCTTCTTTCCCTGTCAGGGAACAGTCCAAACCCTCAGTTGTATACAAGCAGTAAAAATGTGAAAATTGACACAAATATTGTGAGTGGTTCTAGTCCTACAGATGGAATGAAGCCAAAACCCGGCTTCGAACCAAGGCGGAGAGGAAGGAAAAGAGGAGCCCTTAACACGGCGTTTAGGGATAGGATAATGAGGGACGTAGATACCCAGTTGGCGATCGAGAACCTTAAAAGGGATCTGTCAGATGAAGCTGATTCTCCACTGCTGTCTTCCCTCTTGGCCAAACCTGACCAGTCAAAGCAAGATGATCCCAAGTTTATACAACAGCTTAAGGATATCGGTTTACCTACTAACATGCCTATACTCATCGATAATGGTGACGGAAAACTTCTGACCCTGACGGAAGATGTTTTGAAATCTGTAGTGGACAGTGATGGAAACCTTCAACTCCAAGTAGCAGATACAAACTTGAACAAAGTTAAAAAACCACCTAGACCTTTTATTGTGAAGGAAATGAGGGCTATGAAGTCGGACGATGAAGATGAAAACGGAACTAAAAATGTTGAGGTGAAATCAGAAATAAGTGAGGAACCTATAAACGATGAGGTAATAGAGAACTTGAAAAATGGTGGTCTAAGTGAAGCAGAATTGGAACCGGATGCTGTAGTTCTTTTCGAAGTAACTGATAACAAAAAAGTTGAAAAATTTGTTTTATCAGCTAAAGATGTTAGTATATTAAAATCTCTGAATGAACAATTAGCCAAACAAAAAAAAGAATTATCCGATATCACTAAAAAGTGTGATAGTGTAAATACGATAGATGTTGCTGGTACCAACACAAAAATAGCAGAATTAAAACTCAAAATTGGAAAAACTAAGTCAATTTTATCTCAGTTTGTCTATCTCAAAGAGAAATTAAAGAATTTATCTGGCTGTATGCCTTGTGATATTAGTGATAAGCGTCCATTATCAGAAATGGTTCATTTGGAATTCATAGATGGTAATGGTGAAAAGATAGAAGGATATGAAGTTCATGGAACACTGGTTGATAAATCGAGAGGATCAACAAGTGATCATAAAGATAATCTTACCAAAGATGGTGATCTCTTAAACTATTTCGACAGGTTTATTTGTGGTGATACTAATAATGATCGAAATAGTCCATTACTAGGTGAAAACTCAATAAAAAAATTAACTGAGAAGAGAGAAGATGAAATGTTATCTGGTGATAATTGTGAACCAAAAGAAGAAATGAGTTATCAGCTGGTAAGCCTTGATGATCAGAATGAAAACATATCCTACGATCAAATAGAAGCTATGATGAGTGAATCATCAGGCAATATAGTTATAGAAGAAAAGAATCCGGAATTGAAGTATATAATAGACAATGACGGAAATATCATGAATCAAGATGAAAATTATGTCGTCTACGAGAGTGGAAATGTTATATATGACAACCCTGAGTCTGTTTTACCCGACATATCTGAAGGAGAAAATTCGAGTAATTTTGTTGTTTCCGATAGGGTTATTCAAAATGAAGGGACAGAATATATCGTGGAATACAATGACAAGTCAGATTTAGGTGACGACATGAAAGGCATTGATGATAGAGGGGAATATATTGTCTATCACGATACAAATAAAGAAGGCTACGAAGATGACGGCCTTGAAGAAGTTAAGGAAGGCGATAACAGTTTTGTAATATATCCGGGCGACAGTAAAGAACTGGAGACTGATGGGGAGACTAAGTCTCCTACGAAAGATGTACCTTTCGCTGTTGGTCTCGTACCTCTTAAAGACGCTTTAGAAAAATTTCAGTCAATATCCGAACACCAACCTAGGAAAACACGATCCAATTCTATGAATGGTGAAATAGTGGGCATGAGGAGGAGATCCTCGGGTAGTTCCGACAATTCTGACCTGTCAGACAAAAAAAGAAAATTAGACCCCACATTAATTGATGGCATTCCAGATGAAGGTTTATAGGTACCTGTTTACTGATCTCATTTATTATAGGGTGCATCTCGTCTCCGTTCACATCCATCATTGAACTCAGTTACCTCATTTTGTTTATTATTATTATTTTTTTTTGTTTATTTCTTTTCCTATTCGTTTCTTATTGAAATATTAGTTCATTTCGCTTACCTAGGTTGTTATATGTTTAAAATGTACCACATTACTGACCAGCAGATTTATGTAAAGTTACACAATAAGCACTGTATGTATGTAAATAATTATTTCAAATAATACATACATTAAAAAATGTGTGTCTTTTAGCTTTTGTAGATTTATATATTGTATATTTATAAATATATATACGTGTAATATTGACCACTAGTTTACATTTGTTAAATTGAAACAGAGTTAAATTTATTTAGTGTATAAATTGTCTTTTGAAGGCATGTTAATAGCTTGTTAAATTTTGTCATTGAATATGGTCTGTTGCAATAAAGATATGTAGAAATTGTTTAAATATTGTATATAAAATTTTCGGTATACATTAAGCTTATATGCATACTGTTTGTATGGTATGTAAAAATTATTTATTGCTATAATTTGTATATAGTGTAAAAAATTAAAATGAACATTTGAGTTACGATATAATAGAAACAAATTGAAAAAATTAAATATATATAAAAAAAACTATGGTTTGCATAGTTATAATAGAGAATGTAATATTTATTGACGATATAAAAAAGCAAAAATTAAAAAAAAAAAATTATTGATATTGGTATGACGAATGCCTGGTGTCAAAATTATATTTATTTATTCCATATTTTTGATGGAAATTTAAATAACTGCTCACTCGAGAATAAAACCTTGTAGATATTTTTCATTTAATAGAGATATTCTCAGTTAAATTTTGTACAGTTTGTGCAGTTTCTATCTGTATATAAGATGTATGTATATTATAAGTAATGAAATGAAATGGTATTTTATTTAAAAATGTACACTTTTTAAATGAATCAAACTTATTGTTTTCTATTTATATATTACTTTTTCCATTAATCCCATACCTGTCCTTGTCACTTCCGTGTGATTATGAGTGAAACTAGTCAGCTTTTGAACATATTTGTAATCGCTTGATTTTTTTTTCTACGATTGGTTAGTGTATTGAACATCTGATATATCAAAGATTGAAGTATTCACTGATTCACTGTGCTTCCTAAATTCTGTATCTAGGTTCCATTTGAATAGTTTATCAAAGTGAAATTTTGTTATTAAGAAGTCGAGACCATTGAAGGAGTAGTGGAACAATTAACGTTGAAGAAAAATAAATGATTTGAAATAGTCTAAAATTATTGGTGATTAATTGGATTTGTCTCAATTCTTACTTTCTTAAAGATTTGTGTTATGTAAACAAATCAACTTGAAATTTATTGTGGAAATCAAGAAATTGAAACAGGTTTATAACTCTGTTTTTGAGATCACTGATTTAAGTTTCTTGCACTTTAACATCTTTTCACTTAGAATATTTACTATAAATATAATTGCTTGTTGGATGTATTTCCGATTGTTATGTAATGGGAAAGAGGAAATAATATAGAAGACGTTGCCTTGAAGATAAAAACAGTATGACACTTGGATGGCTCTCGTGAGTGGAGGTTAGGGACTTGAATATATAATCTTGAAAATAACACTTCTATTTTATGATTCATTCTATTTAATCTTAGTTTAAATCTTCATACACAAATTATCGAGTAGAAATTATCATTTTTAACCTTGGGTTCCAATTGCTGTTAAAAAAAGGAAAAATTATAAGCTGGCAAGATATTCAAAATGTATTATTCTTTTGTGGAAGTATAGAGATTCATCTAGGTATATTAGACATTGTTAACGTTAAAAAAATAGGCTACAGGCCAATTTGGAAAATGGATTGGCAAAATTTAATCTTGCGTATCTACAACCTACCTGGGTATGAACACTGAACATTGTATTGAAAAAAAAAAATATATATATATATATATATATATATATATATATATATATATATATATATATATATATATATATATATATATATATATATATTAAAATAATTAGATATATATTTTGAAACAGCTGAGTGGTAGACTCAAATGCTTATAGTCCAAATCTATTATTCTTGTATTAATTGTTGAAATCAAGCATGGATTGTAAATGATTCAAGTCTACCAGAAGTTTGTCCCTGATAAGGAATGGGGTGAGGCATTTTTAATTTATTGTTTAAAGTAAAGTATAATTGTGCTTAGATAATTAATAAAAAAATTCAGCTATGATTTTATATCTATATATAAATAGTCAGAGCACAAAATAATGAATGTATTTTGTAAATTGAAATTTGTATTAGTTGTGGTGTAATCAATGATTTATTTAAACAATACAATAAGGGTTTTTTATATATAGTTGAAATTACATTTTCGTCCCATTCTTGTTGCCTTCCAGATAAGAGAAATTTATACCTAGCTACTTACATAAAAATAATATTAAATTCTTATTTTGATGATGCAGGAACCGTAACATGAAAAAAAAAAATCCTATGAGAATATATTCTGGCAGAAAGATATCTTGTTATTCTTTCTACTATATTATCAAATCTATTTTTGCCCATGGTCCATGTGAAAAAGCCCAAAACAATGATGTTAATTGAATAAATACTTCCTCACTTGGTTTAACATGAGGCTAGTAACTGAAAAACAAATTTAAAACTTATACTTTTAGCATGACATATATAAGAAATTTATCCATCTTAAAATATTTCAGGACATGTTTTTTTTTTACAATCTTATGTTTTATAATATCTATGAATTGGGAAATAATGTATTATTTTTCATTTATGCAATGCCAGCCATCTGGTAGGATTATGAATCATAATTTGGTTTATTTTTTCCTGGCTTATTCCCTTCTGCAACATCTGTTGTTTCACTGAAATAGGTATGTGTCCATAACCATGTCCTCCATATTTCACCTGAAATAAAGTGTTTCTTACTAATACTATTGAAATAAACTTTCATAATAATTAATATTACTCAATAATAGTGTAGAGATGTTGACCGTGATTATGATATGGGAAGGCGTTAGTCGGTGGTGCGGTCAAATAAATACTATAAACTGGAATAGTATTTATTAGTTATGCTGATGTTTCGACCTACTTTGTAGATCTTCATCAGAGCTACAAAAGATAAATGATATAAATGGTACACAGTTAAAATAAAATAAATTAATTCTTAGTAGATATTAAATAATAAACAGTTGTCTGATAAAGAAATAATAAGATGACATCAGTGATATAGTGGGTGATAGAAAAGAAAGGTGAATATCTTTTTTATCAAAATCTGTTTACTTTTAACTTACAGCTATTATTCACCTTTCTTTTCTATCACCCATTATATCACTGATGTCATCTTATTATTTCTTTATCAGACAACTGTTTATTATTTAATATCTACTAAGAATTAATTTATTTTATTTTAACTGTGTACCATTTATATTATGTATCTTTTGTAGCTCTGATGAAGATCTACAAAGTATGTCAAAACGTCAGCATAACTTTGTTTTCTATTTTTATTCACACTTGTTTTCTATTTTTGTTTATATCTTCTATATATATGACATTTGATATTTTAACTACACTATCACCAACTATGTTACTGATGTCACTTTATTTCTTTATCAGACAACTGTTTCTTAATTAATATCTACTAATAAGTTGTTTATTTTATTTTCCACTGTGTATCATTTATATTTTGTATCTTTTCTAGCCCTGATGAAGACCTAAAAAGTGGGTTGAAACCTCAGCGTAACTAATAAAATATTATTCTAGTTTATAGTATTTATTTGACCGCACCCCCGACCAACTGCTTCTCATATTATTTCTTCAATTATGAGTTATGATAAAAAAACCAACATAGTATGTACCAGTAGCTAACATGCTTAAGGATTTTTTTTTTAACATGAATATTGTTGTTATTGAATTTTTCTTTAATCCATCTTATAGAGCTATTTCTCCCCTTATCCAGACACATTTCAAATCTGTGTAACATGAATCAATATTTTTAAACAAAATTGTAAATTTAGAGAATAGTTTTATTGCACCAGTAGCATACACTGACTTTGAATGTTCCTATAGATGATAGGGATGAGAACAAGGATGTAATTATGCGATATATATGTTATATTCTTCATTTTAAAATAAATATTTAAAAAAAAATATCTTTAAGTTATAAAACTAACTTTGATTCGTTTCTTGGTTTAAATTTATTGATAAATACTGTTCACTGTCAAGAACTTATTTTTGACAACAGAAAAACCTATTTTTGCTTTATATTTAATCCAAATCATTAGCAATTTTTTTTTTTTACGAGGGAATTGTGAAGGATCTCATTTTCAAGACCCTTTTTATTAAGTATATCTTTTCGAGTTTAAGAGAGTACATGCCTGTCAGCTACTGACGAAAGGTCCCACTAATAAGTAAAAGAAAAATTTTGGGATAAATCAAAATAGTTAAAGAGAAAAAAGTAAACATAAGGTGAGGTGTCATTACTCATAGATGGTTATTCCTAAGAAACAGTGAAAGGTGAGGGACCTTCATAATTTGTCACCCACTATTTCGATTATGGTTTCCAGCAAGACTAAAGCAAAGCAGGCAAATATACAAAGAGAAAATATAGAAAAGAAAAATTTATGAAATAGAGGTCTGGAGGGTGGGGAGAAGAGGATGCCCTAAAATTGTATTCCTATTTTTCGAGGAGGATGCCAGGTACTGTTCTCCTTTGAGCATATGTCAAGTAGGGTTAATATAGGTTCCTCTCCACTTCCATTGGGTCTATAATTTTTTATATTTCAAGATCAACGATTTATAGTTTGAAGATAAAACTACAGGATGATCAAACTTTGAAATATAGCCTTGTTGAGGAAATTACATTTGTGCAATAATACTAAAAGTAGTTGATGGAATTTGATGTTTTTTATTTTGTGTATTTCAAATATTGACCACCTGAGGCAGGTGGTCTGATGAAAATAATGAAAATGTCAGGCATGGAGAAGGATGTCACCCATAGGTATCTCTAACCTGACTTTTTAACTATCATGATTTGTTGAGAAAGATCTCTCATCCAGAACCTTTTCAGTCTCCTCCTTGAATATGTGGGTATGACAGCGGAAGCCATACCTCTTATTATAATTGTATGCCCCTGTAAATTAGTATGATGTTGGTAAAGAATACTTAGGTGTTGATCAAATGTTTGTGGGTGGAAGTCAATATGGTGGGTTTTGTTCAGGTACCAAAGTGTTTTAGTTTCAAATCGTGATATTTTGATTGGAGAGTTGAAGTTTTTGTGAGTTAGTATTTATAGTTATATCATTTGATGAAATTGAAACTGGACAGTTAGTACAGTACAAACTTTCCTCCAACTTAAGGAAATCGGATGGACCGATTTTGAAATACAGAGTCCCAAATATTTCCCCCATGCATTCCAGAGGTTTTGGGATAAAATTTGATAAATATAAAATATTATTAATACTGCACAATCCCTGAAAATGTCATCGAAATAGGCTCATACATGGATTTGACTACAGACAGACATGGAACGAAATATGTTCCTTGATGTCTAAAAAATATGAGTGGAAATTTTCGATTCAGGAGACTTTTTTTACTCTTATTTTTAATTTTTTTCCGATGAATCATTAGTTACAATTTTTGTGTAGATACCTAAAACAATTTACATTTAAGCCTTGATTTCAGCCAAACAAAACACAGTGAGTCATAACATATCACTGTTGAGAAATATAAGAGTTAACAAATTTATAAGTACATAAGAGTTATCATTATGATTTTAGTGTTAGGTCGCCACGTCCTCAAAATTGTCCTTAATCTCTTAGAAAGTGGCAAGCTTCCCAAAATTTCAATTGAAACAGGACTGTTCTTTACAGTTCATACAGATTGATGGAATCTTGATATTCTTGAATATCTAATGATATTCTTACAAAAAATAATATTTAAAATTTACTTTCAGACAGGTAAAATAGTACTTACGAGACGATGTCTGGTGTGTATATCATGCGATAACAAAATCTGTTCCAGCTTGCCTGCTTCTAGGAGGACTTTGATCCTGTCCACTCTCTGAGCATCCGATGGCATGTCAAACTCCGGAGCGAGTTGGTAGAAGGAAACTTCGTTGCCGAAGAGATCGAATTCGCAAAAACATCCCAGGTCGGAGAAGTCGATGAGGTCAACCGTTGAGCTCAGGGTTCCTTAAGAAGTCAAGAAATGATTTCAAAATATTGGTTTATTTAATCATCATTGATGAATTATGATTAAAGATCTTCTCCATAGTTTTAGATATTTTATTCATTAAGTTTTAATTTTCCATAGTGCCATTTTTGTCTTAAGTTTTGAACAGTTTCCATCTCTCTTCAAAATCTAGTCACTGTTAAAATTTATTTTAAGTTGTACTGGATACCTAGTGTTCCTAAAAAATAAAGAAGTCTAGGTTTAAAAGCTTACTAAAGATAACTGCGAGTGAAACAAACGGAACTTCAATAAAAAATAAAATAAGAAGTAAGAAACAAATAACGAATGAGAAAGTATGCGTTACTAATGCACACCAAGGGTGTCCAGAAGTGGGTTTCACGCCGGAAGTTGCGCCATCAAATGTTTTGAGGGGGGCATATTTTGATGGGGTTATGAATTTTCGGACTAAGGGAAAAGGGAGAAAATATGGAACATATCGCAGCTAGTGTAATTGTATATGATCTACGATTTTTCCATTTCTACCTTAGCTGCTCTGTTTTTAAGAAAATGGGAGCAATCAAATATCTTGGGGTGAGTGGGATAAGTTCTTGCGCCATCGACCTTGGGGGGGGGGGATGGGCACCTTTGCTAAACACGTCTCGCAAAGTGAATCATTGTTACTAGACACAATTAAAACTGGTGCAATGGACTCTGCTGTAGTGGGATCTTTTATTGATTATCTAGGCTCGCTGGTGACTCTTGTCTCTTCTGAACAAGAAGTCTACCGTAAGAACATAGCAGAAAAGTGGTACTGTCACTCTACGACAAGGCAGTTTCGGATCAGAGCATTCTGCAGAAGATCGAAGTTACAACTTTTATACTACAAGACATTAGCGCGCTCAATCTTGCTATATGTCCTGAAACCTAGTCTCCAAGCCTTACTAAGAAAATCCTCAGAAAATTCTATGATAATGTCCTGGTCGAACGAAAATGGAAAATAAGAACAAACCAGGAGCTGTGCACTATGTTTAGGAAATCGGATATAATCCTAACGACGAGGATTGCAAGGAAGAAATGACAACGTAGGCTAAGAACTTGTTATAAGGATAAGGTACTGCTCAGAAATCGGATGGTAACTGATGCAAACTAAAAGTTGTTGGAGGAGGCCAAGATTCGATAGCGGATTGGAGACAGTAGTAATAATTTATGCTTACTGTACTATTTTGAATAGTACATTGGTACAAAGGTTGAGTTTTGCTGCAATGAATTTTGAAATTAAGGTCAGTCTCTCATCAAAATTATTATTTCAACACCATTGTTAGGCCAGTGGTTATGTATGGGCGTGAGACATGTATCTTAACTAGAAAATCGGAACTCATGTTCAACTCCTGAGAGAGAGAAAGGTGTTAAGAAGAATATAGGGTCTTTCATAAAAGGAGAAGAAATTAGGAGCTGCTGGAACTGTTTGGGTAACCCGAAATTGTGGTATAGGTAAAAAGAGGACATGTGGAACGAATATTCGACCGAAGAAAGCCAAAGATGATCTATGGGAAACCAGATGGCATGAGAAGTAGAGGACGCCCTCGGATCACATGGCTGGAGGATGTGGAGGACGATATGAGGCGGCTGGGTGTTCAAAGTGGAGGGAGATATATCTATATACGTTTATGATTATTTATTTATTTATGGAAAGTTATTATTTAGTTAAATAGTTTTAATAAACTTACTGTCAAGGTGGCCCATGACCGCCTTCTTAAGGTCACCTCCTGCCTCGCTGTAAATTCTGATGATCTCGTACGGGGCCTCTCTGTTTCTGCCTGGGTGGAAAGTAACAGGGCACTTCAGGTCGGATTGTGTCATCGCAGTCGCCACGATGCAGCGTCTCTCGAAATCTAGGAGGAAAAAAAAGTCACGCATATTCATTGTATTTCAACATAAAACATCTTTCAAATGTATATATTTGTTTTAAATACAAGAAATTTCAGCCTGCAACAAGACAAAATATTGTTATAATATAATCGTAATGCTTACCATGAATGGGCCATGAGCTGCCAACTTCCCCAATGACACCACACTTGACCCCCGGATCGTCGATGCAACCTTCAGTCAGTTCCGTCGTCATCAGTTTCACCATTTCCTCCAAGGGCATCTTTAATGTTTCAGGGCTGTGTGCTGCCGAAACATAATGTCCTGGAAAAATCAAAACAAGAATAATACAAACTAGTATAGCTCAAATCATTATAACATTAAATATTAGATAGGTATCCTTCATCTTATTGCTTTTGACGTGTAAGTAAGGTGACCAGATTTTAACATTGGCAAAGCGGGACACTATTGAACATTCATAATCCCAACGAAATTTGGCCCCCCTCAAACACTCAAAAACTTTGATGGCATCCCTGTCTGTAATAACAAAAACTAAAAATTTTCAGGGGACATAAAAACTGCGTAATTTTTGTTCTATGAGCATTATATTTTCAGTTCAATTTTTTTAGTAGCCCTAAGACAAAGATGTATTGCTCTATGTGACATGTTTGATCGTATTTATGCCAAATAATCTTTTAGAGCCATTACTCCTAACTAAAGGCTTTTTAGTTACTTTTAAAAACATTTATTAGTTAGGTAAAAGAAATCAACTGTATTGTAGTAACACTCATAACTTTGTTAATAATGATCAAATCATGGCAGGAACAAAGTCAGTTTCCAAAATGTAGATGAACGATACTTCAAATGGGAAACCAGATGGCATGAGAAGTAGAGGACGCCCTCGGATCACATGGCTGGAGGATGTGGAGGACAATATGAGGCGGCTGGGTGTTCAAAGTGAGTGTTCAAAATCAGAAAATTTGTAAAACATTTTACTGGAAAGCAGCGAGTATTTGATAATATCACGGATTATTTCTTTTTGTGTCTTCCTATGTAGAGGAGGTTCGGAAGATGTACATGAGTTCCATTTTGGATTAGTCCATGAAAGTTTCGTTTTTAACGTACACAACTTCATATAGACATGGTTTGATTCACGAATTCTTGATAACTTCTAGGTAATATTCTGGTAAGTAGATCACTTCGTTTCTGAGCTTCTTGCGATTTCTAAAATTCATTGCTTTTAAAAGATCCACCTTCATTGAAACTAGAGTTCTTTTTTCGCTTCGTGTTAAATTTTCCAATTAACGAATTCAATTCTCAGTCCCTCACTAAGTAGAATTCAATGGAATTTTTTAAAATAAATTTTTATTTTATTTATTTATATAATAAATATAAATTTTCATTTTTTAATTTTCTTGAAAATGTATGAATACCCTTTTAAAACGTATAATCTCGGAGCTTTTGGGAAAATAAATATTCTACTGAAATGCTGAGGTCTATCGATCATAAACAGGGGTAACTCTGATAAAATCATTAAAATCAAAATTGCTTTTAACAATCTTATTGCTGCAACGATATCAAAATAAATATTTTCCACATTTTCACAATCTCAGACCACAGGAAAGTTATCTCATTTCTCTTATCAGTTTGTATACACCTTAATGTGATTTAAAACCATTAGCATTTACTATCTGAATAAATGATACTGTAAAAAAAAAAAAAAAATACTTTCCCCATAAAATCAAGAACTGCGTTATAAAAATTGAGATTTTTTGTATTGTTTTTTGATCATTAGCATGGTGTTACGTAATCACTTAAAAACTACATGGACAGAAAACAGTTTAAATTGATATTTATTATTTCAATGTTGGGATTCATATTAAAGAATATTATCATGGTCTTAAACAGAAGAATTTATGTGCTCTGTTTTAGGGTGACCACTGATCATATCGAACGTTTGCGAAATCCTGTGTAGATTTTTGGAGTGACGCACAACACCTGAAATTCTATTGTTCCTAAATTCCTTCACACCACACCAAAATGAGAAAATACTCCAACAGACTGTGAGAGAAACTCATGGACTTGAACAAAAGATTGCACAGTTTTTAGGCTAAGATTTAATAAGAGCACTATAATATAAAAATAATAATTTAGCAAACAGTATGGCTTAAATGTATTTCATTCCATCTTCATCGTTGTGCAGATGCTTAACTTCAACCTCGACCTTAGCCCTTAACTTCCTTGCCTTCATATCCATAGATATTGATTGACCAGATCTGTAAGCACTTCATTATTGATTTTTTCTTTTTATATGTTAGTATTCTTTTCTGCGATCACTCTGGACCTGAAGGATCCTAATTGACCAATTTTGTTTAAAATTTCATGCAATTTGAAAGGTTTTGGATTTGTTTAGTAATAACCTAAAATGAATTATGGTAGTGGGGTAGCTCAGTGGGTAAGCGCTGACTTCCTAAGCTCAAGGTTCTGTGTTCGAATTAGGCTGATGGCAGGTAATTTGTCATCAGCTGTTGACCGACCCTGGGATCTGGAGATCACCTGGGCACATTCAGACTATAAAGTGGGTACTCTTAATTAATTGAGGTGGGAAAGCTAGCAGTTAATCATGATTTTGGCCCGATCACCTTTCCACACAACCATTGGCCTTGAAACAGTACTTCCTTACTAAATACAGAATCCAAGACCCTTCATGGGTTGGAGTGGTACAGGTTTTTTAAAAGAAATCATAATATTGATTTTATTTTTTACAAAATGCTATATTTCTGCTTGATTTTGTTATTAATATTCGCTAGGCATTAATTGTGTATTAATAATCTCCATAATTATAAACAACATATCACGATGTTAATGTTCAGCGGGTAATAGTTTCTTAACTAGATCAAAAGAAATTTTTTTTAATAAAAACAAATCTTCAAACGAAAAATCGACATCGGCTTTTAGATTAAACCTTAAACAATATTCAAATGCAAACTTATCAATATGCTGCCTATTAGAAAAGGAAGTCAGACGGACTAAATAAGAACAAAACCTTCGGGAGCTAAAAAGCAAAGATTGGATTGGCCGAGGAAATATTAAACTGGCTGATTGGGCCCCTCAGCCCTCCAATCAGATCCGTCGGCTTATTGAAATCTGAAGTAGCTTAGCCAATCCCGTCACGTAAAAGAAGCTCGACAACTAAATGAAAAATGTAAAAAAATTCTATGGAGGTTCTGTATTCAACACTGTCCTCGGTACAAATCACTTTTGCTTGAATTTATTATCATTGAATTCATCGATAATGATGATACAATTCGCAGATAAAGATATTCATCTGTTAGGAAAGGTACTTACCTTTTTTTTGTACCCTCTACCTCACTATTTTTGGCATACTAGAGGAGAGGGAGAGATCTGATCATAAAGGTAACCAACATATTCTAAGTAGCATGGGAAGGTCGAGATTCATTCCATGGGTCCTCTACGAAATAAATTTCAATATGCCCAGGCCGAATTCGGACCAACGCCACTAGACTCATAGGTTGTTAAGATTACTATGCCATAACAATCTCAGCCGTCACGGCCTCAACTAAGTGCCGATACCAATATTATAAATACAGTACTTATGCTCCAAAATAGGCCTCCCCCTCACAACAGTATTTCGTAACTGGTTTTGGTAAAATACTCACTTGGAATATACATATATAATTGGAAACTAATCAATGATATCAGTCTCAGATGGAAACAGAGCTATGGACGAAAACCAGTATTCGATGAGGAAACTCTGAGGAAAAATTTGGTGGCAATTTTAACGAAAGGTACGCGAACCAAGGTAAGAGAATTCGGAAGTTCTCTAAAAGTTAATCGAAAGTGAACCAAATGAAAATCGTTATTGAAAAATTTATTCCTTGTGATGGGAAAATCTCGAGGCTGATAACGATAGCTAAAATGCAATTGGCTTACTACTTCACTAATTGCAGTAAAAAAAAAAGATGATCTCTGTGTTTTGTAATTACGATAGCATAATTCCATCCAAAAATCCCTCTATACTATCTCTGACCAAGATGACAATGACATATACAGATAACGTAGCAATTGAGAAAGCGTATGTAGCTTTGAGAGAGAAAGGGATGGTCTAGAGTTGGATATCAAAAAAACAAAACTGATTGTTGATAAAATAAATGATAGAACTCTGCTTTTTAAGTTATCGCATGTTAAATATTAAAGTAGCTTTTTCCTTTCAGCGCCTTGAATCCGCAATGACACATGAAATCAACTAAGAAGAAAAATTTAAAAGAAGGATTTTAGGAGATAACGGAACATAATAAGGACTAAGAAGTTTGGAAAGGAGTAAACTGGCATCAATAACAACAAAGGATCACTTGCATAAAACCCTAATTAAACGAGTGTTAATCTAGTGAAAGCAAGCCGATGGGACAGGCAGGCGCACGGTTGCGGAATCCTATGGCAGGATATGTTGGAGCAGGCTTAGGAATACTTCGATCGATAGTGCTAGAAGATGAAGAAGAATCTAGACTTGGAAGTAAGTCACCTTCAGAACTTCCTAAATCATCAATGGCAAGGAGAATCGATTTTTAGGATTAAATTGATATATAAATGTTTTGCAATGAACATAATGTGTTAGTGTAATTTTTAAATAAAAATAATTATTCTTACTTAGTTTATACTTGGTATGCACTAACCGGTTCCTGCTACAATATGCACACCAGTCGCTTTGCTGATGTTCTTCATGAGCCCAAGATTTCGGCTGATGCCCCAGGATGTGCATTCGACAATGGTGCCACCGCCTGCCTCGGAAAATAGTTTGACGCCATCCAAAGCTGCATCGGAGTCAGTGAAGTCTATGTTGAGCTTACTACTGTACCTGCGAAATGAGGTTGATATTATTAATTTCTACAGTAGCGTTTTACTTTTACCAACATTCATAATTATACCGATTATCCAACGATATTATAAAAATCTTGTGTGGTGTGCGTATCACACAACTTTCACTTACCACCCTCTTAGCAGAAATAAATATATCAGACAAAGGGGAAGTGAAAGTAAACATTATAGATGCTATATTTCATTGTGGGTATTTTTATTTGTTTAAGTACCCTTATTTATACTTTGATTTTTACCTCGTTGTAATCTATACAATTAAATATTAAATAATACCAACGATAGCATTTATGAAAACCCCATATGTTAATGTACATAATATTGTGCGAGTCCATATTATATTTAGCTCATGTTACGTATGGAAGCTTGTTCTAGTGTTTCGGGTGAGTTCGGGCGCGCTCGTATTCCTTTGATTCCTCTATTACAACTATTCTCCGTCACAATCTCTTATTTCTCGTTTAGCTAATTATCAAATTCTTTCATATTTTATATTAACCTATTTTTTATCTCACAGATCAATGTGAAATGGTTAATTATTCCAAATAAAAAAATAAAGGTAATTTAGAGGAAGCGAATGTTGAAAATTAGCCATTTAAGCCCTATTAGAGAATATATATGAGAATGAAACCTACATTTTATTAAAAACTGCTTAATTTTACACTGATATACAGAATTTAATCAAAATCGTTTTAGCCGTTTCGAGAAAATTGAGACGAAAAAGTTGCTGTAACATCCCAGGCATATAAAAACCTTTTATTTTATTTTATTTACAACTGTATCAGATAAATACATCTAGTAAATTTGAACATATGGATATAATGACATGAAAACACTTGCTAAGTAACTACCCAATGGTAGCACTCTAATGATATCTCTACATTAGGAGATCACGGGGCCATCTTCTTTTCAGAAGCCTCGGAGGGTTATTAGAAATTGAAGAGGAAGCAAGGTTAGAAACGAGAGGGTTGGGATGAGTATCTGGATAGAGCTAAATTCGAAACAAAAAAAACATTAAGGTCATTATGGATGGGTTTATTTGCAAAAAAGTAGGGAGCATTGAGGATTTTACGAAGGATTTTGGATCGTAAGGATTGGATACGAGAGGAATTCGATGGTTTAGTGGAGCCCCATAGCTCAACTCCGTAAGTCCAAATAGGCCTTATTATAGTCATGTATATGAGTCTTTTGTAATTAATTGGAAGTTTAGAACATTTCGCTACTGTTGAAGTAATCGGAAACGTCGAGCGGTTTCTTGTCGTTTCAGTCTAGTATGAGGATTAAAAACCTTAAATATGCAAAATCACTTACGTACAACTTTTCGTTTTTGAAAACACACACGCACACACCATTTTGTGGGACTTGGTTATTTTGACTCAAGGGACCACAAAACGTACTTCCATTGAAAACTGAGATTCGAAAATTTTCACGATCGCAATACTTTACTATATATTTCATATAATGGTAAGTGAAAGTAAAAATGATACACAACTTATGGGAGTCCAAGTCTTATGAGGTGATGCATTTGGCTATACAGTCATTGTTTACGTATTGCTGTGTATATAATGGATAATTTTATTCCAATCATGGACCAGGTACAAGTATCAGTAAATTACTACTCACGGGTATTGCCTAATGTAGGCCAAATTGTGAAGTCCAACCCCTCCGTCGAACTTCTTCCTGAGAATCGGAGGTGGCGATTTGTAGAATTCCTCGAACCTCAGTGAAATATGTTCGTGCGTCAGCGTTATACCGAGGTCCTGCGCCTTCACTTCACCTAGGACTGATGAATAAAATTAATCATTAATTGGTTTCAATCATTATATTCAAAAATCAGTGCTAAAAATCATCAGAGTGCTACAGAGAAAATCTCATCTCTCAGTCAACAAAAAATAACAAGTATACAAAAATAAATTCCAAAAACCTATCAGGATTCCATTAAAAAGACGTTGTGTTCCTGTATATATTTTTTCCATTTGCACAACCGGTTTCGGTCTTTGGTTAGCCTTTATCAGGCTAGATAATATAACATTACAAAACAATCTAATTTTTTTTTAGAATTTACAAAACGATCTAATAATAATAAAAAAAAATTAAAAAAATAACAATTAAATACCCAATACATTTGACTATAATTTACTTCCAGCTTATCTGCATAAATTGAAGAATGCCAATGATCATAGGTAGATAAGATAATAGGTTGAAACGGTAATGCCACCGATACATTTTGTAAACATATTGGACTTTTGGGAACGTACATATTATTCATTTTACAGGGCTTATAGGGTCTTTGGCTATAGTTTCAGCATTCACTGGTTTTTTATACCAGTGATTTGGTTGCGAAAGAAGTGCTGGAATCTAAGTTATCCCTTCAAAGATGGAGAAATAAATCAGGTTCAGAGTTTTGCGAATGCATATAAATAGTGCTAGTATGCCTGCCTATGTTTATGATGTTAATTTTACTCATTCAAATTTTACTTAATTTTTAACATGTTTACTTTTTTCCTATTATTGTATTTATATTTTTAGTGAATGTAGTGTGAATGAACTCTTATCCCACTCTGTTAGCACTGTCCTTGATTGTGACGGCATTTAATATTACACAATAAAAACAGTTTCCAAGATAAAAAAAAAAATTAGTTATTTATAAAACGACTAAAGATGTCAAGAAAATTGGTGATATGATTATTGAAGAATTGACCCAAAATTACTACTGTTCTACATGTATTCTATAAAATAGTATTTATAAAATTCCAGAACGCTAATTCGGTGATTTATATATTTTTTAGTTGTAAAGAAAAAAAGGTCTGCCAAGTATGGTCAGAATAGCTTCCTCATATTTTTCATCGGCTCTCAATTTCAAGGTATTTAATTTTTCATATGAGAATAAAATCTCCGGGAGAAACCGTTTTCGTAAATACAAATCTTGCAACATGCGCGGATTTGATATCCACGTTGTTTATCAGGGAATATTAAAATGCGGAGTTCCACATTTACAGATCGCGTATTCCATGATTCTTGATTTAATAAAAAATTCCTTGTACATACTGAACATTCATATCACTATTATTGGTGCAGAAGGTCGTATGTAAAAGTTAAGTGTTTGTACGTAAAAACTAATCATTTCTTTATGATGTGGTACTATGATTTCATATTTTATTGTCCTCTGCTATTTTCTATAGTAGCAGACTACCTCCATCAGATGCAGAGTACAAAATGTCACCTTTAGCACAAAAAGAATAAAAATTATACATAGGACTTTTGGCTCTAATTGTAGCAATATATACTTAATAGATATTTTTTCACTCGTAAAATGAATTGATCCAAAAATCCATTACCGAGAATTAACTAGACCAATATCTTTTAAATGTGTAAAGTTCATACAACTTTGATATTTAAGGAGGAAATTGAGACTACGGCGTGCTGACTGAACTTCAATAGAAATAAACACAATCATAAATAAGACTTTTTTTTACAAATTCAGAGTAAAAGTTAATTATAAATTTACTGAACATTATACGAATCTAAGTAACGGCAGCAAGTGTCATACCAGTAAAGTTTGGAACCTACCAAACAATAAAGTATAAATTAGGTTTTGAATAAAACTTTATTAAAATTTATAACCTCATAAAAATATTGTATTAACCTAACTTCCATTCCATATCCTCAATGCCTTCCACATTTCACAGCTATTATATTTTTAACAGTTATTTATATTAATTTTAATTCTTAAATGGAATTGAATGAAATTAATTCTATGCAATTACTATACTATTCTCCAAATTTCCTCCAAGTTTGAGTCAAATTGACCTAGCGTCTCTAATAATACATTTACTGATCCGAAAGTGGAAGTATTTTTTTTTGAGAGTTGGGAATATAATGTGATATTCACTTAATCATCTGTTAACCAGCCCCTAACTTCAAGTGGAGAATGGAATTCGATAAAATTGATATGGGACCATGTAGATACCATCCCACACAATCCCTGAAAATTTCATGGAAATCGGATGAAAGGCGATCAATTTGGCTACAGACAGACCGACAGACGCCGAACCAAATTCGATCCTTGATTACTGACAAGTAAAATGCTAGTGGAAATTTTAGATTCAGTACCGCGAAATTTGTGGAATTGCGATAATGGCGAAAAATTGTGAAAAAGGAGAATATCGCGAAAAAATCGAAAATAGTGGAAATGCGATAATGTTGAAAATTGAGGAAAAAAAACTCGCGAAAAAAGTAAAATAGTGAATCCGCGAAAATGCGATAATGGTGAAAATTCCAAAAATAGGAAAAAGGTGAAAATTGTGAAACAAGTTCAAGCTGTTTCTGATGATTTCATTACAGTTACAAAATTTAACTTTATAAAAATGACAGATATCCATCTGTGATATCAGGCGACGCATATATATTTTTTTAATTTATAATTTTTTTATTGTTGAGTATTATTATTTTTTTTTATTGTATTTAATTTAGTATTTATGTATAGTATAAATTCATACTGGAGTTCTAATATCTGTTGGCCTTGCCGCTCCCTTTTTTTTTTTTTTACCTGTTCTTCCATAGTTAAATTAAACAGTTTTATAAACAGTATTTCAAGTAATACATTTCATTATTTGATAACTGTAACTCATTATATCAAGTTTTATTTGCCCTCCTCTTCCACGCTTTTTAGCCTAAAATATGTGTGATATTCCCAGGCCATGGTGGCTAGGCGGGAGAGTTAAAATCTCCCTTAGCACCGGGATGCGAACTCAATTCCCGTTCGTAATTATTTTACCATATTATTTCTATCAGGTTACCAGGCAACGCGCTTGGTGTCTGTGCACACGCGTTAGTCGCTCGGCCATCCCGTCTAACTCATTTTATTAACTAAATTAAGTCAAAACGACAATAGTAGCTGAAACATTTTTTTTTTTTACAAAATCTAAAAATATTTAGTTTTCTTTTTGTCTTTCATCTGTCTTCAGATACTGATAAATAACGATTAATAATTCAGATCATTATTAACGTTTTGAATAGGCAACGATGTCCAACTATTACTATTATTTGTCTATTATTTTTTCAAAGATATTATTTAGTTATTCATAAAACATTTTAAATTTATTTATTGAAAATTATATTTTACTATTATTCCCACAAATAGAATAACATAAATATATATATATATATACACTGAAATAGATATAAGTTAATTATAGTACCTGTATTGACGCTCATGGCAGGATGTTGATGTACTGCGCTGGCCCCAGTGCGTCGGTTGTGTAACCTTGGATAATTATAAGGTCTCTGCTCTTATCAGTTATCAGAGGATGTGTTTGCCTTTTCTCGTTTATTTTTATTTGGTAAATCTCTATTCACTTTTAGAATAGAATACCTGGAGAATAATACAATAAAGTGGCAAATTCAAATCACTATATGTTTTCGAATGGTATCCAGAATAACACTGTTAAGAAGCAGTGGGAGATGGAATGCAAAAATTTGACTTTTTTTACTTATAGTAATATCAAACTAAACCCTTTTGGCGCAACTTCACAATTGAGCGAGGCAGGGTAAGATGATGAATTAAGTATTTCTCCCTATCAATCACAGATAGCAGCACCTCGTAGCTAGCATAAAATTTGCGTAATGGCGGACCATTGTCACTAATCCATTAGCATAAACGAGTGTGTGTCCATGTTAAATTGTGACCAAAAGTTCAGATGCAGAACACTTAAAAGTAATTTTCGAATCTCAAAAAGCTAGCTTTAGCCTTTTTCGTGATTTTTACATTTTCAGAGTTTTTGACGATTTTTGCGGTTATCGCCTTTTTCGAGATTTTTGCGGGAACGCTTTTTTCACCTTTTTGCGATTTTCTCCTCTTTCACTAATTTTCCCTTTTTAAAGATTTTAACAGTTTTCTTCTTTCTCGCTATTATCGGAAGTTTCGCCTTTTTTCTCATGCTTTTCACCATTTTCGAGATTTTCGCATTTTGCTCTTTTTGTTATTTTCATTTTCTATACATTTCCCCACAAGGTGTATCAACTTTTCTATACAAGGACTGAAAAAATCAGGAAGACAGAAAATGCGTGTTTGACCTGAGAATAATTTTTAGAAATTTTCCTTTCATGAAAGTTATCAAAATTTCCAAACGAACGAAAATCTTTTGGAGGTAAGTCTGGCGAATAAAATGGGAGTAGAAGGACTTCGTAGCTCGTTTAGTTTCTTTATCCTATGTCGTGAAACATGAGATCAGGCGTTGTCTTGTAACAGTATAGGTCTCTGCCGATTATAGAATGCAGGTTGTTCTTGACAATATCATGCATTACGTCAATACCACTGCAGTACGATGCATGGACCATGATGTCATGGCTTAACCTCTGGGTAAAAAGGAGAAATGAATTATTCCTGCCATTGAACACCAAACAGAAACCAATAATATGTTTGGATGAAATTTTTTTTCAAACCATAGGGTAATGGTCATTTCGTTACAACACCATTTCTAGAACTCCGTGGCGTCTCTTGCAGCTGTCGAATGTCCAATTTTAAAATTATTTAAAAAATACTCGAAAATCGCTTGTTGTCACGTCGTATTTGATGGCATACTCAACAATCAGTTGGAATGATAGTAAATACCATAAAAAAAAGGATTTATAACGGTTCATTGTAATTTGTAATAATAAAGGTAGTCAACAATAAAATGAAATAATAAAACCGGACATTTCATATTAAATGGCCTAATAGTATCTTATACTGAGCTCTCTGACTCTACATCTCGAATGTCAGGTTTTGAATATCCATTCTCCAACTCTTCGAAAATTGCCTAAGAGTGGATTCTCCTAGTTTGATAGCCTGTGGTGAATTGTTTTCTCCATATTCCTTCAAATCTGGACACCTCCCTTGTTTCCTCCGCCGGGCGCGCTATCTCTCGAGGCCCGGACGATACCCTATTGATCGTGGCGCTCGGAGCGCTGGAGCCACCTGGTGTTGGAAGGAAGGAGCTCTCAGTCGGCCGTAGCTCCTCAGGAGGACATCACAGGTCTGTAATCTGGCTCTTCGGCATCTTGAACGATCTGGAACATGCAATGCCCGATACTGCTTTGCACATTTTGATTTACAGCTTTGCATTTTGGTTATTTTATTTACTCATTTGCAGGGGCTACTTTTGCACGTTATAGTCCTTTCGGCTTGATGCAGTTTCCATGGAGTTTCTTCTATCTTCTCTTACCATAGAGGAACGCACTTTCTGAAAACATTGTTTCCGTTATATTTTCTTCATCCTTGAAATTCAGCTCTTTGATTATTTACAGGGTATTCCATGACTGTAGGTTCACACCTAAAGAGAGCATTTCTCGTGCCATTTATAGTAAAAACAGTATAATAAACATATACAACACAAACACTTCCTAAAAGAAATATAAACATTGAAAGTTTGATTTATCGGTTATGTTTAAGCCTGATTATTAGTTATACTTTTTGTTGATTTGTTTTACAATCAGTCTAGTATCGTTTATCTTCTGTCAATTCGGTGATTACATTTTCTTTAAAAGTTATTAAAATGTTGATGTAGACAAAAGATGTCAGAAAGAGACTTAATTGATTTTTAGAGAAAATTTACGACCGAATTGACAAAAGATAAACTATGCTAGATTGATAATATATATAAAAAAACATATTCATTCTAATTTTAAATGCTCGTATTTCTGTTTTCTATTTTGTTTATTTTATGCATATTTGAATCTAAATAGCATCAGAGATACTTTTAAGTATGATCCTTCACAAAAAGAGGAAAAATGTTTATATATTTTTATGCCAAAATATTAGAATTGTACTTTTTTGAGAAGTTGATTAGAATTGGAAGTCACTGTGAAAAAAATTTAATTTTTGCCAATGTTTCGGCCTTAGTTACAGGCCTTCATCATGACTGAGGAAATAAATGATTAAAAAAAAATATATATACATATATATTAAAAACATACCTATTAGTAAAAAAAAAATAAGCCTTGAACAAAATTATCTAGTAATAAAAAAAATAATAAGAAATTAAAAATAAATTACTTGATACAAGAAAAAATTAAAATATACAGAGTTTCTCAGTTCTTAATGGACAAATTCTGTGGGATGACTCTAGACACAATTTCCAAAAAACGTTCATTGATTCATAAGCCGATTTCGAACGAAAAAGGAATTAAAAAAAACGAGACTACTTTAAGAACAACTTCTTAAAGTAGTCTCGTTTTTTTTATTGAAAGAGAAAATTGCTTAAAAATTATTTAAGATAATTAAATTCGAAGTACATCATCGTAAAGTAGAAAATTTTTTTTTGAGAAAACAGTGATTAAATTTACGAAGACAAATGATAAAAGTGACTTTCAGGATATCTAGTACAGCAATTGTACAGAGACATGCTGTTCGTATGTGAGTACTGTAACTGCAGTAGTACAGCGGCTGTATTAGACCTGAAAGTCCCTTTTGTCGTTGACCTTAACTAAATGTAATCACTGTTTTTTTTTTTTTAACAATTTGTCTACTTTACGATGGTGTAATTAGAATTTGATTATCTTGAGCTGATTTTTAGCAATTTCTTTTTATTCAATAAAAACCGTGATTACTTTAAGAAAAAAACAAAATTGTCTTAGTTTGTTTTTCGTTCAAAATCGGCTCATGCCGATTCAAATAAACTTTTTTGTTGAAAATTTTGTCTAAAATCACTTCCTAGAGTTTGGCCATTAAGAAGTGAGGCATCCTGTATAAGTCCTATAAGTAATGGCACTAGCGGATCCAGGATTCAATTTCGGGGGGGGGGCGCTTCAGTCCGAAAGATTTTTTTTTCATATACATATAACGATAATTAATTAGAAAAAAAAGGAAGAAATTAACTACCTTTATTAAATGGTGTTTAAGTGGTTCTTAAAGTTCTATAAAATGTAATTATACGAACAAGAATACTTTAAGAGATATTTTTTAATATTTTTTCTGTAAAACATGGTTATATTTTACCATTTTGGAGGGGGGGACTTCAGCCCGAAAGCCCTCCCTCCCTCCTCCGTATATCCGCCTGTGGGTAATGGTAAGATATGAAAGTATATGTAAAATATTATAACATTATATAACGTATGTAAAATATGGTATGTTAAGTGTTTGTAATATGTTTCGTTTAGTTCTTATCTCCTATTTCTTCAGCACTAATGGAGACCTGGAACTTAATTGGTAACTTTGGAAAAAATAACATAACAATTTTTTTATTTTAATTTACATTGCGACTACAGCCCTAATTAAATATATCTTCAACTATATCTTCTTTTTCTTCACCACCATTAGAAATGTAATTGGTTATTCTTCTGGTAGAAGAAACAAAGAACTGGAATACAGTTACACAAACATCCTAACGATCGTAATATTTATTTCAATGAAGAACATACGATTTCAAAAACTTCTGTTCTGTATGTCTGCTGCATGTTCTTCGCTGAGTTACATTGAATTTGATATGATAAATCACACTTTTAAACTGTGAAAATAAAATAATTATAAACAATCATGTTCAAATCTATAATTATTAGTTATTTAAGAAAAATTAGGAAATATGAATTTTAACGGTCCTTGTACGGAATAAACGTTAGATTCAGTGAGGACCTGGAATCGAGGATTAATTTAAGTTGTATCTTTGAACAAACCTTCTAAAGGTAATAATTATTCAAGAAATCCAGGTTTTCAAAGTCATTGTAAAGGTTAAGCAAAAAAAAAATATATATATATTTTTTATTCGACATAACAATATTCAGACATGCAAGGCATCACATTTACGTCACACAACTATGTAACTCAACATCTAATTTAAAGTATTCGAAAGACGGATATGTAAGTATAAAGAATAATAAATTACGCTATCAGATTCTGAAACCTCAACGCTTTCAAATCCTTTAAGCTGATTTAGATTCTTAAAGCGCCTTTGAAGCACTGATAAAAAGCAAAGTAATTGATAAGATTTTCCGCATTACATTAAATAAATTGATGTATCGTTCTGAATGAAGAGTGTATTTTAAAAAAAGCAAAATCGCTAAGGTATTGTCGAAATTAAGTATAGAGCCATTTTTGTTAATTTACTCGTGTATATTAATATTAATAATAATAAAAGGCTTAACGAACCCGAAGGTTCGACGCCGAAACCAGCAATCGCTTATTACACACCTCCCTCTGATGTTCGCTGTCCAAACAAATTTCCTTCAGACCAGCTTAACGCAATCTTCCCACCTTCGATTCTGTCTACCTTTCGGACGTTTACTATTCAGTACAGCAAATATTAACCTTTTAGGGATGCATTCGTTACTAAGCCTAACAATTTTACAAACCCATTTGATTCGCCGCGATGTAGTCACCTCAATTATATTAACCGGGTCCACGCAATTCGGCGTTGTGTGACCGTTTAATTCATCCTTCTTCGGTCCGAATATTCTACGCAATACTTTATTTTCAAAAATTCTTAAGACGTTGCTGTAGGTAAGATAATGGTTTTATAGATTCTAGTTTCTAAATTTCGGGACAAGAGGCGCGAGCTAAGTCTTGTATATTAC